GTGGCTGCAACAATGGGCCCAAGCATAACAAGTATTGTGAGGATGGCTCAAGACTGGGCAGTGTTTTGTTCTGTTGTACATAGGGTCGCTATGAATCAGAACCGACTCAACGGCACCTAACAACATCATATGTTGCTTATTAGTCCAGTTGTGAGGATTTTTGTTTTATGTTGAGGGATAATCCATACTGAAGGCTGTAGTCTTTGATCTTCATCAGTAAATGCTTCAAGTCCTCTTTGCCCTCCGCAAGCAAGGTTGTGTCATCTGCATATGGAGGGTTTTTAATAAGTTTTCCTCCAATCCTGATGTCACCTTCTTCTTCATACAGTCCAACTTCTCGGATTATTTGCTCAGTATACAGATTAAATAAGTATGCTGAAAGGATACAACTCTGACGCACAACTTTCCTGATTTTAAATCACGTAGTATCCCCTTGTTCTGTTCTAACAACTGCCTCTTTGTCTGTGTACAGGTTCTACATGAACACAATTAAGTGTTCTGGAATTCCCATTCTTTGTAACGTTATCTATAATTTGTTACGATTCACACAGTCGAATGCCTTTCAATAGTCAATAAAACACAGGCAAACGTCTTTCTGATAATCTCTGCTTTCAGCCAAGATTCATCTGACGTTGGAAACAATATCCCTCGTTCCATGTCCTCTTCTGAATCCAGCTTGAATTTCTAGCAGTTCCCTGTTGATGGACTGCTGCAACCATTTTTAAATATTTTCAGCAAAATTTTACTTGCATATGATATTAATGATATTGTTCAATAATTACTGCATTCTGTTGGATCACCTTTCTTTGAAATGGACACAAATATGGATTTCTTCAGGTCGGTTGACCAAGTAACTATCTTCCAAATTTCTTGGCATAGACAAGTGAGTACCTCCAGCGTTGTATCCATTTGCTGAAACATCTCAGTTGGTATTCCGTCAATTCCTGGAGTTTTATTTTTCACCAATGCCCTCAGTGCAGCTTGGATTTCTTCCTTCAGTACCATTGGTTCTCGATCATATGCTACCTCTTGCAATGGCTGAACATTGACCAATTCTTTTTGGAACAGTGACTCTGTCTATCCTTCCATCTTTTGGTACTTACTGCATCGTTCAATATTTTGCCCATAGAATCCTTCAAAATTGCAACTTGAGGCTTGAATTTTTTCTTGAGTTCTTTCCTTGAGAAATGCCAAGCATTTTCTTCCCTTTTGGCTTTCTAACTCGATGTCTTTGCACATTTTGTTATAAAACTTTACTTTGTTTTTTCGAGCTGGTCTTTGAAATCTTCTGTCCTGTTCTTTACTTCATCATTTCTTCCATTTGCTTTAGTTGCTCTTTGTTCAAGAGTGTGTTTCACAGTCTCTTCTGACATCCATTTTGGTCTTTCTTTCCCATCTTTTTAATGAACTTTTACTTTCTTCAATTATTATGCCCTTGATGTCATTCCACAACTTGCCCAGCCTTCTGACATTAGTGTTCAATGTGTCAAATCTATTCTTGAGATGGTCTCTAAATTTGGTGGGATACATTCAAGGTCATATTTTGGCTCTTGTGGACTTGTTTTAATTTTCTTCAGTTTCAACTTAAACTTGCATATGAGCAATTGATGGTCTGTTCTACAGTCAGCCCCTGTCTTGTTCTTACTGATGATGTTGAGCTTTTCCATCATCTCCACAAATGTAGTCAATTGGATTCCTATGTTTTCCATCCAGTGAAGTCTGCATGTATAGTCTCTGTTTAAGTCATTGGTCTCACAAAATTCTATCATGTGATCTCCAGCATCTGTTCTGTCACCAACGCCGTATCTCCAACTACAGATCCTTCTTCTTTGTTTCCAACTTTCACATTCCAATCACCAGTAATTATCAATGCATCTTGATTCATATTTGATCAATTTCAGACTGCAGAAGTTGGCAGAAATCTTCAATTTCTTCATCTTTGGCATTAGCGGTTGGTGCGTAAAGTTGAATAATAATCATATTAACCAGTCTTCCTTGTCAGCCTATGGATATTATCCAACCACAGACAGCATTGTACTTCAGGACACATCTAGAAATGTTCTTTTTGACTATGAATGTGATGCCATTCCTCTTCAATATGTCATTCCCAGCATAGTAGACCATATTATTGTCTGATTCAAAATGGCCAATACCAGTCCATTTCAGCTCATTAACGCCTAGGATATCGATCCATTTCCAGCAGCAGGCTTTCGAAATTTGTCAGTTCACTAATTTCTTTGCCCACATCACTTTTTTTTCCTACTTCCTTTCCTTCATCTTATGTGATGCAGAGCCTCTATCATCTCAGTATTTCTTCAAAACTTTCAATCAGGTAGTTTCATTCTCCATTATTGAGGCTATTTCCATCCTTTACCTCCCTAATTTCACTGATCTGTAATCTTAACTCTACTTTCAAATCACATTCAAAATTATTCATTCTCATTTTTCACTATGCTCCTGACACTTATTTTTAATCACAGACAGGTACATCTTTTTTTTTTTAAAGCATAAACTCTATTATTTAAAATTGCAATTGTCACTTGTTAGTGCTCTCATCAAGAAGCCTGGTGGTGCAATGGTTAAGCACTCCATTGCTAATTGAAAGGTTGGTGGTTTAGAACCTACCAGCCACTGGACTGGAGAAAAGACCTGGCAATCTGCTCCCGTAAAGATTATAGCCTAGGAACCCTATAGGGCAGTTGTACTCTGTCCTACAGGGTCACTATAAGTCCAAATAGACTCCACCGCACACAACAGTGCTCCTGCCAGAATGTGATCTTGATGCAAAACAAGGTCTAATTTTAAAAAAGACCCTTTCAAAGCAGGTGACTGCAAGATACTCCATATGCCTTAAAAAGTTCCATCCCAAGTTTAAACTGACAAAGTGTATCCTCCCACAATTATAACCAGTTTGGTCAGGGCTAAGAGGCATAAAGTTTCTCACACAAATGACTGGCAAGAAAAGTTACTCTTCTCCTCTTTTTTAGGTGGGAAGTAATTTTTTTTTTTGTGCTTTAGGTGAAAGTTTACAGAGCAAATTAGTTTCTCATCAAAAAATTTATACACAAATTGTTTCGTGACATTGGTTGTAATCCCCACAATGTGTCAGTGCTCTCCCCCTTTCCACCCCAGTTTCCTCGTTTCCATTTGTCCCATTTTCCTGAGTCCCTTCCTGTCTTCTTGTCTTTGCTTTCGGGCTGATGCTGCCCATTTTGTCTTGTATACCTGATTGATCTAAGAAGCATGTTTCTCACCCTTGTTATTGTTTGTTTTACAGGTCTGTCTAATCTTTGGGTGAAAGGTGAACTTTTGTAGCGGCTTCAGTTGTTTGTTAGAAGGGTGTCTGGGGACCATAGTCTTGGGGGTTCCTCGGGAAAGCAATTTAATATCATTGATTAGAAAAAACTTTTAACTTTTTTATGCATATGCTTTGTAAAAAAAAAAAAGTATTTTTCTCATTTCTATCCATGACTTTTCAATATTATAAAAAATAGTATCAGAAATGATCTAGTCAATTGGCATAACAAAGTTCATTAAGAAAATTTTCTGTATCCTACTCTGGTGAGTGGCGTCTGGGGTCTTAAAAGCTAGCGAGCAGCCATCTAAGGTGCATCAACTGGTCCCAACCCACCTGGAGTAACGGAGAATGAAGAACACCAAAATCACAAGGAAAGCATTAGCCCAAGAGACAGAAAGGACCACATAAACCAGAGACTGCATCAGCCTGAGACCAGAAGAACTAGATGGTGCCTGGGTCAGGAGCTGGTTGAATGGATACGGGAAATCAGGGGTGGAAAGGAGGAATGTGCTGTCACAATTAGGGTCACATAACAATGTATGTATAAATTTTTGTATGAGAGACTAACTTGAATTGTAAATTTTCACTTAAAGTACAACAATAAAATAAAAAGACCTAGTTTGGGGCAAGAAAGAAAATATATGTTAATTAGAAGTACTAAATTAAAGCCGGAGTCAGAATTTTCCCAGTAAAATTGTAGCTTTAACCTTCAGTACAATTACTGTCAACTTCAGTGCTTTCTGAGTTCTTAAACCGATCAATTAATTTGAGCTATCTCAATTCAACGAAACTCTCCCATGCCTCCCAAGGTCACTCCTAGCCACAACTTAGACTAAAAATCGCAAAAGTGCTTCCATAATTAAACTAAATGACCTTACTTGAGACACATTATTTTTTCATCATGCTTTTTTTTTTTTTTTTTTTAACAATCCTGTAGGACAAGCAGGGCAGATATTATCTATATTTTATGGCTGAGAAAATTGATATCAAACCCCTTTTCCAAGAACACAAAGCTATTAACATCGGAACCCGAAGTAGGATCCAGAAGCTCTGATTCCTAGTCCAGCTCAACAAGCTGCCTTCACACTTGGAGATCAGCTTTGATTGTTAAACCCTGGACTCCACATTCCTGGGGCTTGCCGTCATGGAGTGAAACTGAAAACCAAATGTGTTGCCATTGAGTCAATTCTGACTCATAGTGATCCTATAGGACAGAGTAGAACTGCCCCGTAGGGTTTCCAAGGAGCAGCTGGTGAATTCCAACTGCAGACCTTTTGGGTAGCAGCCGAGCTCTTAACCACTGTGCCACCCTTGTTCGCATTGACTCTTTCAGACTAGGGGCCCCACTTCTAAACTGATAACCGAGTGGGCGGTGCAACATGGCGCGTGTACCCTCAAAGCCAAATAACCAAACAGTCCTCCGGCTGTTTCTGTTTACAAAGACGGCCCTGGACCCCGGCGACAGGTCAACAGACTCCAAGGACTATGAAGCACGGCTTCCTAAAGCGGGCAGGATCAGAGGGCGACTTCGCGGCCGCCGGCCATTCCCCGCCCGGCGCAACCCACGCACCTCCCACGCGCCGCCCTCTGGGCCCGTCGGCGCCCCGCGCCGCGTGAGGCGAAGCCCGGCCCCAGAGCGGCGCGCGCACCCCGAGGCTCCCGTCGCGTGACTCAGCCGGGGCGCGACACTTCCGACGCAGGCCAGGTTCAGGTTCCGGGGCGCCGCCGAGCTCCGGCCTGTGGCCCCGCGCAGCGCTGTTCAGATTCCGTGGCCCCGCGCCCGGCGGCGGCCAGGATGGAGGAGGCCGGAGCGGTGGTGGCCGCGGCCGGGGAGGCGGAACTGAACCTGTCCCGCCTCAGTGTGTCCCCTGAGACGCTGGAGACGGAGCTGGAGGCGCGGGCCGAGGAGCGGCGCGGCTCGCGGGAGGCGCTGTTGCGGCTGCTGCTGCCTCACAGCGGTCTGGCGTCGCTGCCGCGGGCGCTGGGCGGCGGCTTCCCGCACCTCCAGCTGCTGGACGTGAGCAGCAACGCGCTGACGGCGCTCGGGCCGGAGCTGCTTGCGCTGCGCAACCTGCGCACGCTGCTGGCCAAGAACAACCGGCTCGGCGGGCCCGGCGCGCTGCCTAAGGGCCTGACCCAGTCGCCGCTCTGTCGCAGCCTCCAGGTGCTCAACCTCAGCGGCAACTGCTTCCAGGAGGTGCCTGCCTCGCTGCTGGAGCTGCGTGCGCTGCAGACCCTCAGCCTGGGCGGCAACCAGCTGCAGAGCATCCCCGCCGAGATCGAGAACCTGCAGAGGTGAGCGACGCCCTGTGGGGAGTGGGGAGTGGGAGGTGGGCAGGGAGCGGGCGAGATCCAGGGTGATGGCCGGGAACCCTGGGGCGCCGAGCCTGGCTCTGGCTCCACTCATTTGTCATGTAACCGAATTCTTCCAGGCTGTCTCTTTAACTGTTTGGTGGTGAGTGCTGCCCAGCCGTCCCAGCAAGTTGTGGTGAAGATCGTGTGTATGACAACGTTTGGTATATTGTGCTTGCCATATGCAGATGTTCGAGGCAGTATTTGTCTCTTTTTTTGGGTCTAGGGGTGTAATCTGAACTGAGTAGGTAGTCAAACAACTGTAAATCTGAGGTTGTCACTTCCTTGCTCAGAAGTCTTCAGTGGTTTTGCATGCTTGTAGATCAGAGTCTTTGCCTTTTAGCATAGCTTTCCACTAACGTTTACAGCTGCCCTTCTCCGTAGCAATGCCAGCAGTAGTATTTGCGGAGTTCTGTGAACCATGCACTTTCCCAGCCCTTCTAGGTGCTCACTAAATATGTATTTAATGGATGCAGTGCTTTTCTGTCCACATGCTGTTCCCTTGGCCTGGAAAGTTTCCTGCCTCTGGCAAACTCGTGCCCATCGTATCTCAAGGGTCACCTTTGTATGTCCTTCCTTTACTGCTCCCTGGCAATAATTATTGCCTAATCCGCACTACTTCTGTACTCATTCATCCCGCCATTGCATTTAACGTATTAATTGTAATTCCTAGTTTACAGGTTCGCTTCACCTACTAGATTATTCAGTAAATGTATGTTGATTTGAATGGAAGGAGGAACTGGAGCCACATGATGGTGACAGTCCCTTAGAAGTGCCCTGCAGAGGAGTGAGAAATAGAGTGAGAGCAACTTCGTTATCCAAAGTGGGAAAAAGTCGTATCTTCTGTCTGTAAAATGCTTTCATATCCTTTATTGGATTTTCTTAGGTAATAGAATGTTAGAGCTAGAAGGGACCGCTGCGTTTAGTGTAGTTAAAAGAATATTGGCCTGGGAATAAGAACTCTGGGTTCTTACTCACTTAACATATCCTCACCAAAATTTCCTAATCTGTGAAATGAGGCTGTTGGGCAAGATGTCCTTCATTTATTCATTCAGCAGATATTTTATTGAGTAGCTACATGCATCTGGTGCTGTCCTAGGTACTGGGGATATGTTGGTGAATGTAATCCCTGCCCTCAGGTAGCTAAGATAGTAGCAGAGGAAACAGACATCAGACAACTAAATGCAAATCTCACTATTCAGTTACAATTGTCTTGTTATTGTGAGGGATTGACGTGGAGAGGTAAAAGGAGGTTTTAGGGGTTGGTTAGAAGCAGGCCATAGTAACAATGTGAGAGATGATGGTAGTTTATATCAGGATGATGCCAGTAGAAATGATGATAATTAGAAGGTTGAAGAGAGTTTGAAAGGTAAAATTAACAGACTTTGGTCCTTCAGATTTTGATTTTTTATAATTCCAACCTTCTCATTTGAATTTCTCAATATACTAAGAAGAACCCAGGGCAAATATTTCTTCTATCACATGGGGAAAAAAAGGTATACCAAAAAATCCCACTTACTGAATACTTACAAGGTAGTAGACCCTGTTGTAGGTGCTCTAAATATGCTTTTAATTCTCACAGTGACTATTAGATGAAGACATACTCCCTTTTTTCAGAGGAAACTGACACTCAGAGAGATTAAGACCCAAGATCACAAAGCCAGTAACTGGTAGCAGTGGATTTGACCTCTGGGGTCTCTGAGTCCAAACCCATGAATTTTCCACAATGGCAGAGTAGGACTACAACCTAATTCCTCTGACTTATGCCACATTGAATATGTGATCAGGAGAATTGTTCAGAGCTGCTTGCCTAATTGACCAGATTTTCTGGGTTAATTGATATCTGTGCTGCCCATGGTCATTGTGCCTTTGGCTCCCACAGTGTATGGGAACTTTTATGTCAGTGTTTTCGTCTTTCAGTTATATGCTCCATTTCTCTCTCCTGATAACAGTCAACATTGATTGAGGCTTAAGCCATGCTCCAAATGTAAACTCCAGTTGAGTATAGGCTGAAAGGGTCATGTAGGGGTCGTCTGCTCTTAGGGGTAGACTCAGTCTTGGCGATGACCTGATCCATCCTCTTCCTTTGAGAGATGAGGAAATAGATTTACTGTCGGTGACTTGCTTGGGGCCAAATAGTGACAGTTGAGAGTTACGTGGTTCAACCCGCAAAGGTGATTATTACTCCCTACTAATGTAATGCATTAAAGCTTCAAAAATATACAAGTAGAGGTTCAGGCACTTAAACTCTGTGTTAGTTATCTTGTGCTGCTATAACAGAAATACCACAGATGGATGGCTTTAATTATTCTCTCACAGTTTAGGAGACTAGAACCCCGAATTCAGGGCGCCAGCTCCAGGGGAAGGGTTTCTTTCTCAGTCGGCTGTGGGCAGAGGTCCTGGTCATCAATCTCCGCTGGTCTAGGAGCTTCTCCAGCACAGGGACCCCAGGTCCAAAGGACACTCTGCTTTCTTGGTGGTAGGAGGTCCCCCCGCCCACCCCCCACCCCCATCTCTCTGCCGGCTTGTCTCTTTTATATCTCAAAAGAGATTGACTCAAGATACAACCTAATCTTGTACAGTGAGTCCTACCTCATTAACATAACTGCCTCTAATCCTGCTTCATTAGCATCATAGAGGTAGGATTTACAACACACAGGAAAATCACATCAGATCACAGAATGGTAGACAACCACACAGTACTGGGAATTATGACCTAGCCAAGTTGACATACATTTTCAGGGACACAGTTCAATCTATAACACTGCCCAAGAACACTGTCTTCTCTTAGAACATACGTGGATTCTCTAGACCTCATTGGTAACCCTGATATATACTGTATGCTATGGCTATGCTGCTGTTTAAACGAGGCAGGTGTTTTTGAACCTTAGGAAGGTATTTGTCCTCTTTAAGAGCAGTTTTAAAAATAACGCAGACATTAGGGAAATGCAAATCAAAACCACAGTGAGATACTACTTCACACCCACTAGGATAGCTATTATCAGAAATACAGAAAGTAACAAATGAGGTTGTGGAGAAATTGTTGTAGCCACTATGGAAAACAGTTTGGTGGTTCCTTAAAAAGTTAAACATAGAATTACCGTATGGCCTAGCGATTCTTTTCCTGGGTATATACCCAAAAGACTTGAAAGAAGGACCCAAACAGATCCTTGTACACCAGTGTTCATTACAGCATTATTCACAATAGCCAAAAGATGGAAACAATCCAAGTGTCCATCAACAAATGAATGGATAAACAAAATGTGTTATATCCATACAATGGAATATTACTCGGACATAAATAGAAATGAAATTCTGGTGCATGCTTCTTATGGATGAACCTTGAAAACATTATGCTAAGTGAAGGAAGTCAGACACAAATGGACAAATATTGTATGATGCCATGTATATCAAATATCTAGAACTGCCATTTGTATAGAGACAGAAGTTTATTAGTGGTTGTCGGGCTGGTGGGAGGGAAAATGGGGAGTTATTGCTTCCGGAGTACTGAGTTTCTGTATGGGGTGATGAAAAACATTTGGAAATAGATACGGTGATGATTGCACAACAAGGTGAATATAATTAATGTCATTGAACTATACACTTAAAACTGGTTAAAATGTCAGTTTTTATTGTTGTGTGTATTTGACAACAGTAAAATTTAAAAATGCAGAATTTATAATCCATGAAAACGTCCCCTTTCCTCCCGCCTTTTAGCATTTCAGGAAGGAGACTTTAGCTGTCACTAAATAACAAATACATACTTTGGACTTAATTGGTGTCGTTGACCTCTTCAAATTTAGCAGAGTGTCTTCATGTACGGGTTTTCTGTACCTTGTTGATCCTGATCTTGGGAAGCGAAAAATAACCTTTGAAGTATCATAAATAAGCAGGTGCTGAAAATTTTATTTTTAGGGTTTTTCTTCAGCAAGTAAGGATAATAACTGTTTGGCTGATTTATGGGTGAACTCACTTTTATAATCTTGGAAAAGTAGATGTAATTTGTATTTTGATCTGTTTCTTCTGATCGCCTACCCCTTATTCCTCTCAATTAGCTCATAAGTTAATTGAGGAAGAGCTTAATAACTGTCACTCATAGACATAAATGAAAGCTTCAGGGTCGTTCGGCATCCAGGATGCTAGACATTTGGAGAGTAGGTTGGAGCACAGTGTGTTTTGTTGGAACTCCTCCCTACAATCTTTTCTTCTCAACTGATGCTTTCCTTTTTGTTCAAGACTCCTCTCTCTATCTGCTTGACTTGGTTTTAGAAAATGAAAATATGAGGATCTTGACAAAACAGAAGTTAAAAATTAGTGCCCCAGAAAATTCACAGAAAAAAACCAGACTTATTGGTCTGACAGAGACGAGAAGAACCCCCGAGACCATGGCCCCCAGACACCCTGCTAATTCAGAACTGAAGCCACTCCTAAAGTCCACCTTTTAGCCAAAGATTAGACAGACCTATAAAACAAACAGTAACACACGTGAGGAACGTGCTGCAATCAAGTATACGAGACCAAATGGCCAACTGCTGCCCAAAGCAAAGACGAGAGGACAGGAAGGGACAAGAAAACTGGACAAATGGGCTTGGGGAACCTGGAGTGTAAAGGGAAAGGGAGAGAGTGCTGACACGTTGCAGGGATTACAACTAATGTCACAAAACAATTTGTGTATAAATTTTTGAATGAGAAGCTAATGTACTCTGTAAACTTTCACCTAAAGCACAATAAAAGTAAAAAAAGAAAGAGTACCCAGAATGTTTTGAAATTGGTGTACCAAAGATTGGTGCCAGTTTTTTGGTACCAAAGATTATCGTCTTTGGAAAGAGATAGATGACTTGACTAGATGATAAATAGTATATCCAAAACCAAACCTGTTGCCGTCGAGTCGATTCCAACTCATAGTGACCCTATAGGACAGGGTAGAACTGCCCCATAGGGTT